CAGCAGGGGGCAGATCAACTCACACGCCGCCGCTGCTGTGAGTTTTCCCGCCTTTCTTACGTCATGGGGACGGAGACGATACAAGTCCCTGAAATGTTTAAACCAGGGGTGCCCAAGTCCAGTCCTCGAGAGCCACCATCCTGCAAGTTTTAGAAGTATCCTTACCCCAACAGACCGGGATCAGCTCTACAGAGGCCTGATAACAAGACATTCATTTGATTCAGGTGTGTTGAAGCAGGGATGCATCTGAAAGTTGCAGGATGGATGGCAGCTCTCCAGGACTGGACTTGGGCACCCCTGGCTTAAGCTAAAGCAGTTTTAACATAAATAATGTTTCATCCTGTGATATAAAGACTAATTTATTTATTTCCAGGTCAGAAAGAATCAGTCTGTATAAGGGAATAGTTTTTTTCTGTTTCCCTTGAAGCCAATATGTTCCCTTTCTGACACAATCAGTGTTAAATCCGGTCCAGGAGGCGCTGCGGGCCCTGAGGCCGCATGTCTGACAGGATGACCGCACTGCTGAGTCCGATGGCCTCTGAACGGCTGGAACATGAAACCGCTGCAAACCGTTTTCTCTTCCTGTTTGTCAGATACTCACAAACTCAGGGGCAAAGGTCAGAACTGGTCCAGTTAGAGATGGGGGGGAACTGAGTTATGCGTTTTTATTGCCTTTTACCGCCATCCAGTGGCCGTGGTTTTAACTGCAGCACAAACTATGGGCCTTATTTTTAGCTATAGATTCAACAAAGTGTTAAACACATGTTTACCTGATAAAGCAGAGCATTAGGGCCATACTAAGAAAAATATGGGAATAAAGTCATAATATTATGACAATAAAGTTGTATTATTTCAAGAATAAAGCCAATGTTCAATGTATAAAGTTATATTATGACTTTATTCTACTAAAATTATTACTTTATTCTTGTGAAATTAAGTAAATTTTTAAAAGTGCTTTATAAGGGCTAAACAATTAAAAATAAGACAAAAAAAACTTTTATTTTTCATTCTTGTCATTTAATGACTTTATTCTCAAAATGTCATTGCTCCGTGGAACCGGACCGAGCGGTCTGTTTCTGCTGTTTTTAAACTAAAAGCCGTTTATCTGTGCAGACCTCCGTCCATCCTCTGGTCCCCCTCCTCCTCCACAGCGACAGACACCTCCCCCTCCGCTCCCCCTACAGCCAGCCAATCAGCGAGCCCGTTGCCCGGCAGGCCGACCCTCCCTCCTGGACACGCCCCTGTTACCACGGCAACAGCGTTTCCAGGCGAGTTCCGCGTCATTGAAGCAGAAAACCAGCAGAGCGGGAATCATAACCTTTAGTTGTTTTGTTCTTCTGCTCATTAATGATAAAGGGAAATGTCTCCTGATTTTATTTATATATATCAGCTAGTTGTAGTTTTTGTCCAAACGTCTTGGGCAGGAAAAGTTTAAGACAGTTATGGATTTAATCACATCTGATCATTTTTTCCTAAGATTTGATTGATTTAAGGAACATTTAGTACCCTAATATAGCAGGTAGCAGTGCTGAGCACATTTCTGCTAATGTAATTATAGCAGAGCTCGTTTCTTTGGTTTAACGCTTTAGCTAGCTTTGAAAACTTTTAGCGCACTTAGCGCTAATTTCCATTAGCGCCAGAGTTGGGTAGTAACTACACGTACTGTTACATTCTTTGACTTTTTGTAAACAAAATTTACTTTTAGGAGTATTGTTACTGCACTTTACATTTTACTTTAGTAAAATTATTATGAAGTATTTCTACTGTTACATGAGTAAAATTTCTGGATTTTCTACCCACTGAATGAAAAACAAACATGTTTTAACCAAAAATTCACCACTCGGACACACAGCAGTTTTTGCTAACATCTCATAAGTTTTGTACTGAAAGAGTCTGATTTGGAAAAATATGTCTTTTCTCTTATTCTGAACCAAAAATTGAGTGCAATTTGTGGTTCTCTGCCACGTCTAATTGGTGCTAATGGAAAGTGCTGAAATTAACAAACTGAACTTTATTCAGGAGAATAAAGTTTGACCTCTGTGTTGAAGTTTTGGCTATCGCCTGCTAAGTTTCCTTCAAGCGCATTAGCGTTAGCGTGGGCTGTAGCGCCTGGTCGGCCTGGTTTCTGGTGTTGGTCTGTAGCTCCTCTAGCGGCCGTAGTTCTGGTGTGCAGGTCCGATCTGCTGTGTGTTTGTCGCCAGGCAACCGGTGAAGAAGCCGCTGAACGCCTTCATGCTCTACATGAAGGAGACGCGACACCAAGTGCTGCAGGAAGGACGGGAGAAGGAGAGCTCCGCCATAAACCGCATCCTGGGACGCCGGGTGAGACACCTGATGATGTCACAGTAGTTGCATTTCCATTCACTGTAAAATTGTGCAAACTGAAATTACGAAAATAAATCGATAGAAACACAACAATAAAAAAAACACTGAAGTTTTTCGATTGAACATTTTTGGTCGAGGTGGTTTTTCAGCCATACAGAAACACTTTTTTTCTCCTCAGGAGTCATGTGATCATATGTTACTACTGGCAGAAACACCAAAGAAAATGACAGGAAGTGGTAGAATGTTTGTTTTTCTCCAGCTCCACCAGAGCTCTCACAGCATCACACAGATCATAAAAGGCTGTGTGTCTTTCCAACGTGTTGAATCCGTCGCTTTTCTGTAAAATGGCCGACTACAGTTTCCCCAACATGTAGCCGCTCCCAAGTAGAAAGATTAAAAATGTTGATATTACATTATGCTGCCCCTTTAACGGTAATGCCACAATTGCAAAAATTTTATTTGTATCTTTTTGTTACACCAATAGAAAATGGAGAAATATTTGCCCACATTTTCATCAGTTTCTGGTGTCTGGTGAAACCAG